ACCCGTTTAGCAGCCTTGTTTTTATTAAGGAAGCGAAATTCATTTCTTTCAGTTACATTCATCAATTATTAGGAAATTCAATACATTTTATTATATTGATTATTTAGGTGCACGTTCAGTTACGCAGATAATAACGGACAACGTTAATAACAATTATAATTATAAAAATAATAATAATAATAATAATAATAATAATAATAATAATAATAATAATAATATAATAATAATAATAATATTAATAATAATATTAATAATAATAATAATAATAATAATAATAATAATAATAGTAGCAATGATGATTTCTACAGAGCGGTCTCCTCCTCTCAGCTGTCTCCACGGTAAGGTCTCCTCTCAGCGGACTCCTTTTCACACCATTATGCTCATGACCTTGACCTCACCCTCGATCACCTCTCCCTCAACCCCCCACCCACGCCCCCCACCCACGTCCCAACCCGCGCCCGCGCGCCCGCCCCACGCCTTCTGCAGCAACTTCTGCAGCGTCGTCCGGATCGCCTCCACCCCCCGATTTTTTTTTCCGATTTTTTTCGAATTTCAAAGGTAATTGATGGTGTTTTTGGTGTTGTTCAAAGTAAAGTGACTGAGTTAGTTTTTGTGATACTGTTGTAAAAATCTGGAGAATGAGGGAGGAGTTTGGGGGATGAGTTGTAATTTAATGAAATATGTAAGTGTACATAAATTAGAGATGTCAGATTTCATTTGGGAGTATTCAAAATGTTGTCTTGGAAATGTTTTGGTGTTGTTTGGAAATGTTCAAAGGTGGTTTTGTGAGTATTCAAATGATTTATGAGAGTGTTTTGAAGGTGTTCAAAGTAGAGTGAGGTGTGTGTGTGTGTGTGTGTGTGTGTGTGTGTGTGTGTGTGGGGTGTGTGTGTGTTGTGTGTGTGTGTGTGTGTGTGTCTGTGTGTCTGTGTGTGTGTGTTGTGTGTGTGTGTCTGTGTGTGTGTGTGTGTGTGAATATTAACTTCGCAATATGTAAAATTGTGACTAGTGAATTTATCGAAAAGTGGTTATAAGTTGTAATTGTTGCGGTGACTTTTTCTGATGAAATAGTTAAAACGAGAAAATTACCTAGACATGAGGAGAGTGAATCTTTTGTAAAGAAATTGTGAATTGTTGTGGGTATTAACGAAAAAATGTGGAATTATTTGGGTTATCCTGGGTTAAGAGTGAAAATGTGTAATGTTTTCCCTATGTTGTAAATGAAATGTGTAATACTGAGATGGTGGCGATGAAGATGATCCAGAACCAAATGCACAGAATTTCTTCAAGAGAAAAATATGTTGATTTTAGTCGATGACATTGTACCTTTTTTTAATGAATTTTTTTGTTGGATGTATATGAAATGTATTGGTTGTATAATAAATAAATAATGAAAATATTGTGTATTAGTGTTATCCTGCATTTTAAGTTATTGTCTGCCCGACAAGATTCAGCCTGTGTGTGTGAGGTCATCACGTGACGTCAGTGACATAGGAAGAAGTCGACAAGATTCAGCCTGTGTGTGTGAGGTCATTACATGACGTCACTGACCGCAGAGTAAACACAGGTGGGGTGACGTCACACTTGTTTAGACCTGTAGTAAGAGAAAGTACCATGCCCCATAAGGGGAGTTCATTTGAATGCTTACCCCCAGAGGGAGGAATCCAAAAAACTTGATCCCAGGAAGTAGAGTCTTTGTATTATTGATATCGAGAAAAACTTGATTCAAGGAGATGGAGGAGAAATACTTGATCCAAGGAGATGGAGGAGAAATACTTGGGGTAGAAGTGGATGGTGGGGGAAATCTTTGTATTATTGATATCGAGAAAAACAAAATTGTTCCGGAAGGAGATGCATAAGATTATGTTTACCCCCAGAGGGGGAATCCAAAAACTTGATCCAAGGAAGGGGGAGTCTTGTAAGAGATGGAGAAAAAAAATGAATTCAAGAGAGAAAATTCTGACAAAAAAAAAATTTGGGGTAGAAGTGGTGGTGGGGGTCTTGTATTATGGGGGAATCGAAAAAAATTTGATCCAGGAAGATCGAAGAGAAATTTTAGGGGGGGGAATCGTTGATCAAGGGATGGGAGTATTGATCCAGGGAGTTGGAGTCAGTAAAATGAAAATTCAAAAAAAAATTGATCAAGAAGAAAAATTTGGGTGAAGTGGGAGTCTTTTGAATGGGTACCCCATAGGGGGGAACCCAAAAATTTGATCCATTTGAAGTTGAGCCCAGAATGGGGATGGCGTAAGGGAGTTGATCCAGGGAGTTGGAGTCTTGGTATTATTGATATCGAGAAAAAACTTGATCCAAGGAAGTGGAGCAGGGAATTTGGGATGCAAGTGGGAGTCCATTTTGAATGCTTACCCCCAGAGGGGGGAATCCAGTGGGAGTCCATTTTGAATGCTTACCCCCAGAGGGGGAACCCAAAAAATTGATCCAAGGAAGTGGAGTCTTTGTATTATTGTTATTGAGAAAAAGTTGATCCGAGGAGATGGAGCAGGGAATTTGGGATGCAAGTGGGAGTCCATTTTGAATGCTTATCCCCAGAGAGGGGGAATCCAAAAAACTTGATCCAAGGAGATGGAGAGCACAAGAAAATGAAATTAAAAAAAAATCGAAAAAAATCGGAAAAAAATTCGGGGGGGTGGGGGCGATCCGGACGACGCTGCAGAAGGCGTGGGGCGGGCGCGAGGGCGGGCGTGGGGCGGGGGCGCGGCGGGCGGGCGGGCGCGGGCGCGGGTGGGTGAGTGGGTGGGGGGCGTGGGTGGGGGGTTGAGGGAGAGGTGGTCGAGGGTGAGGTGGTCGAGGGTGAGGTGGTCGAGGGTGAGGTGGTCGAGGGAGAGGTGGTCGAGGGTGAGGTCAAGGTCATTAGCATAAAAGTGTGAAAAGGAGTCCGCTCAGAGGAGGCTGTACCGTGGAGACCGCTGAGAGGAGGAGACCGCTCTGTAGAAGAGACCGCTCTGTAGAAATCATCACTACTGCTACTACTAATAATAATAGTAATAATAATAATAATAATAATAATAATAATAATAATAATAATTATTATTATTATTATTATTATTATTATGTTTATTATTATTATTATTAATATTAAATATCAATATTTGTAAAGATAACGATGACGACAAATTTGACAGTTTGATCTGTCACTGATCATTGGTTCATAATAACTTATATTATCATAACCTCATTGAAAACGTTACCCGTTTTCTATGTTGACGGCGTTTCCCTTGTTGGTAGCTGCCGTCTATGGTTCTCCAGCACCTGGAGTTATATATGGTGAGTAGAATATTATTACGGAACTGTATCATCTTTCTAGCATCTTGCGTTATTCTCTTTTCTTTAGGTCTTTTGGGGATATTTTGCTTAAAGGAGGCTTTAGGAAGAGTAGGAGGTGTGCAGACCAAGTGCTTACAGTGAAACACATAGGTGAACAGCATTTAGATAAGGGTAGTTAGATTTTTATGGCAATGATAGATTTGGAAAAGGCGTCTGATAGGGTGGATATGGGGGCAAGATATGAGATATTGCAAATGTATGGTATTGGAGGTAGGTTGTTGAAAGCAGTGAAGAGTCTTTACGAGGAAAGTGAGGCTCAGGTTAGGGTATGCAGGCGAGAGGGAGATTATTTCCAAGTAAAAGTAGGCCTTTGACAGGGAAGTCTGATTTCACCATGGTTGTTCAATATTTTTATAGATAGAGTTGTAAGTGAAGTGAATGCTCCGATGTTGGCAAGAGGTGTGGGGTTAAAAGGTAAAGAATCTAACTCAAAGTGGGAGTTGTCAGAGTTGCTATTTGCTGACGACACTGCTTTTGGGAGATTCTGAAGAGTAGTTGCAGAGGTTCGTGGATGAGTTTGGTAGGGTACGAAAAAGGAGGACATACCGCGGTGTGGACGCCTCTGAGCAAATTTCATTCTACTACCTGTTTGTGTACTAGCTCAACAAGCAGTATATAATATAATTGTACCCACGAAACGAATGGTCTAGTGGTCTAAAAAAGCGTCATGTGTTTTCTCTCACCATGAGGTGGGCCAAAACAGCGTGGGTTCGACTCCTTGACTAGTGCAGTGCTGTTATTGATCAATACCACTCGTTTCGTGGGTACAGTAATATAATATAAGAACATAAGAATATAAGAAAGAAGGAACACTGCTACAGGCCTACTGACCCATGCAGAGCAGATCCATGCCCCCCCGGATAAGCCCAGTGACCCCCCCAGGATTAGCCCAATGACCCACCCAGTCAGGACACCTTCACTCATGGAAGGAGCACGGCACCAGACCCAGCAGCACAAGCTAGTCAGGTCCAACTCACACCCACCCACACCCACTCATGTATTTATCTAACCTATTTTTAAAATTACACAACGTTTTAGCCTGAATAACTGTACTCGGGAGTTTGTTCCACAACTCCACAACTCTATTACCAAACCAGTGCTTTCCTATATCCTTCCTGAATCTGAATTTTTCCAACTTGAAACCATTGCTGCGAGTCCAGTCTTGGCTGGAAATTTTCAGAATGCTATTTACATCCCCTTTATTTATTCCTGTTTTCCATTTATACACCTCGATCATATCCCCCCTAATTCAACGCCTTTCGAGAGAGTGCAGATTTAGGGCCCTCAGTCTATCCTCATAGGGAAGATTTCTGATACATGGGATCATCTTTGTCATCCTCCTCTGTACGTTTTCCAGAGCATTTATATCCATTCTGTAATACGGTGACCAGAACTGAGCAGCATAGTCTAAATGAGGCCTAACCAAGGATATATAGAGTTGAAGAACAACCTGAGGACTTCTCCTTCAAGATATGAAACCAAGAATTCTGTTAGCTTTATTGCGAACACTAACGCACTGTTGTCTTGGTTTTACATTACTGCTAACCGGAACTCCTAAATCCTTTTCGCAATCAGTAGTATTAAGTTCTTAGATGAATGGTTCGGAGAACCGACACGTTGATATATTAGACACATGTGCAACTCTTGGGTATCTT